TGCTGGTGGGGCTGCAAATTGGTGCAGCCACTATGGAAAGCAGTGTGGGGATTCTCTCAGAAAACTCGAGACGGAACCACCATTTGACCCAGTTATCCCACTCTTTGGTTTGTACCCAAGTGACTTAAAATCAGCATACTATAGGGATACAGCCACATCAATGTTTGTATCAGTTTGACTCCCAATAGCTAAATTATGGAATCAACCTTGGTGTCCTTCAATAGATGAATGGATAAAGAAATTGTGGTGTATATATATATATATATATACAATGTAATATTACTCAGCCATAAAGAAGAATGAAATTATGGTTTTTGCTGGTAAATGGACAAAGTTGGAGGTTATCATGCTAAGTGAACTAAGCCAATCCCCCAAAACCAAAGGTTGAATGTTCTCTCTGATATGCGGATGCTAATTCACTCTTGAGCTTTCTTAAGCGACGGGGTGTAATGGTGGGGGACAGGATAAGCAAACAGAGGAGGAAAGGAGAGACACACTTCAGGAAAGACAAAGAAATATTCTGGGGTGTCAGAATCACCAGAGATAGGAGGTTCATTCTAGAAAACGGGTGAAATTCTCCTTGCACCAGCAGGCTCTATACACATCTCACTCTAGTTCCTTGGGTATTGCACAAGAACTCTACCTGTCTCTGTATGAAAACAAAGAGTGATGAACAAGAAAAATAATGATTAGCACTAATGCTTGTGTTCTAGCTACACACGCAACCCGCCCCTCCCCCGCCCCCCCCCCAGCTAATGGATGAACCTCAATCAATACACTCAGCTGAGACTGCAGAATCAATAAGGAGGCTAATTTAACAGAATTAAGAAGTGGCTTTAAAAAAAAAAGAAGCAAGAAAGTAGATACAATTGCAAGAACTCCGTTCTTATATGTTGCTTAGCAACCGGATATAAAAATGATATATAATGTCAGGAACTTAGTTTCACATCCAGAAAGCCAGCCCCCTGCCTCCACGATGCCATAATGCACTCTTCCCCCAACTGGAACTCCGCGGAGACTATTAACGCCACCATTTTCCATAATACACTCTGTTAAACAATCATGTGTTTTTGTTAGTGCATTAAAACACTGAATTTACTTAATGACTACCCAGTGAGGCGGAGGCACGAGCTCTCGGCTTTGCTGTGGAAGCTCCCAGGTTCATTCTCTGGGCAGGAGAATCCAATGGATGGACAGGAAGGGATGGGAATGCAACCACTGGGATGCACACATGGGAGGGGAGAGGCCCGAGGAGGACCTGCCGTGTGTGTGTGTGTGTGTGTGTGTGTGTGTGTGTGTGTGTGTGTGTAAAGGAAAGTAGAGACACTGAAGTTATAAAATATGAGTGTTTCTTGATGATTTTTAATTTTTTCCCCCCTCTGGAGTAGAAAAGAGGTCTCTGGAAGGCAGAAAGCCTTTGAGGTTCCAAAGCATATCCTTGGCTGTGGAAGTAAAGGTTCAACAGAAAGATAAAGAAACAGCAGAGTCTTTGGCAGAATGCCGCAGTCTGGCTGGGCACAATTCAGGAGCCACTTGTCAAAAGAAACGAACCTCATTTTTAGAACACACACACCCGCACCACACAGCTCTTCAGGAATTCCCTCAGAGCCCAACTGCCACCACGGGCTTCCCACAAGCCTCTCAACCCCCCCCCCCACTCCTCCTGCTCTTGAGGCCGATTGGCTGGTCGTGTGGGCGGAGCCAAAAAAAGTCCCCCAGTGAGCAGCTCCATGGTCTGAA